AGATATTGAGGCTAAGGTGCACGCATGCCACCTGTGCCAATGATCTCGCCCAGAGATGCCCCAAGCTCCTGTGCATAGATGGGAGGAAACACAGTCCCCATGGTCTAGGGTGCACATTGACTACGCTGGGCCCTTTCAGGGCCAGTTCTTCTTGGTCCTTGTTGACAGCCATTCAAAATGGCTTGAGGTTGTGCCTGTCTCATCCACCACCACTGCAAAGACTATTCAGGTACTGAGGGGGATTTTTGCTGCACACGGGCTGCCAGATGTCATTGTGTCCGACAACGGCCCTCAATTCACCTCCTCCCTCCTCCGAATTCCAAGCTTTCTTACAGGCAACCTGATTCGTCCATGCCACGTCTGCGCCTTTATACCCGTCCACCAACGGTATGGCTGAACGCATGGTGCGCATCGCAAAGGACGCCTTGAAGAGACTCACCTCGGGGACTGGCATCACAGGTTGGCTGACTTTCTCCTTTCTTATCGCACCACAACCGTCCACTTCTACAGGGAGAAGTCCAGCTGAACTTCGTTGGGGGCACCAACTTACTACTAGACTTGACCGGTTGCATCCGGACAGACTGCCTTCATCTACCTCACATCCTAGGGCACCTAGACAACTACTTGTGGGTGCCCCGGTTTGGGCTCGCAATTACGGGCCTGGTCATACATGGGTCCCCGCTTCTGTGTCCAGGATCACAGGTCCTCTCTCCTACGAGGTTGCCCTGGACAACGGTCGTGTCCTGCGTCGGCACATCGACCAACTTCGCTCTAGGCGAGACTTTTCTGCTGAGACTCCTGGGTCTTTTCCAGGGGGGGAGGGGGACCCTTTGGAGCAAAGGGAAGGGCAAGAGCTACTGCCCATCTCCACTGAGGGAGCCACAAACGGCTCGTCCCAAGGTTCTGCAATTGCTCCGAAAAGAAAGTCATGGAGCTTACCCACACAACAGGCACTCACGCCTACTCCAGCCAGGGAGTCACCCGGTGGGCAAGCAAGCAGGCCAGGCATCGGGGCACAGTCCTTGGAAGACACCAGGGCACAATAGAGAGAACAGGCTCACGCCTCCCTCCAGTCAGGGGACTTATGCCAGTAACCCAGAGCTAAGAAGGTCACAGAGAGCAAAGAAATCTCCTAAGTATCTAGAAGATTACATAACATTGCTGGCAAGGCAAAAGCCAGTAATCAGTGGGAGCACTGGGGAGCAAAATGTCATATAAAATAAATGTTGTATGTTGGTAGTAGTTTTAGCCCGGGGGAAAGGGGTGTTATGTCCCGAGCCTTGCAAACGGCTCGGGCGTTTGCAGGCAGTCCCGGGCAGGTGCAAAGCTGCCCGGGACCAGACAGGCTGTCGCCAGCGCCGTGCGCATGCGCAGGTGCTGGCGCGGGAAAAGTAACCCATTTACCCGGGAGTTGCCTATATAAGAGGCTGCGAGGCGTTTGGGCGAGGCTGAAGCCATCTTCCTGTAAGCTGAACGCTGAATAAATGAAACTGAGAACTCCAGCTGCTTCTCGTGTCTGTTTTCCCGCCACGGACTCAACACTTTCCTTTTCTTTTCAACAGGAAAAAAAAGATTCAGTGAATTGGGTTCAGTTTCTCTTTGAATTCACTGAATTGACTGAGTTGCATTTATGGCATTTTTAAAAAAGCTATGATTCTGTGTAATTCAGGAATGCGTAACCTGATGCCCAGTGATGAGGGCGTCTCTCCAAAGCCTGTGGCTGGGGGACCTAGAACTGGTGTTGGTGCCAGATAGTAATCTTTAATATAATAACAAAGTATACAAGGGAAGTAACTGAATTAACAATTTAATATTATTACCTTTAAGTCAAAAATGTTATCTTTAATTCTTCTCATGTATTCTCCTCCTCATTTTTTAAACCTTCCTCAGCCCACTTTTTAACCACTGCCCTAATGACCACTAACAAGCCAAGGAGAGCCTTCAATCCATGAGATGTTAACTCCAGCTCTTTAGCTTTGATTTTTCTTTCAACATGTCAAAGGACCGTACTAAAGTCCATTTCCCATATAGCAATTATGCATATATATATATATATATATATATATATATATATATATATATATATATATATATATATATACCGTATATTTCCCCTTTGCTTTAAGTAGAAGTGATCATAGATCTATACCTGTAGATACCTCTACTTATATCTAGAGAGATAATATATATATCACTATATATTTATATAACTATAAATATAGTTATAAATTATGGGGAATCTTATGCTATCTATCTAATATAGTCCACATAACTTTCCTGTTTGATTGACAGACTTCTCCTAGTTTCACTGCCCTTAATTTTATTGATTTGTTTATGTGAAGAGTGTAGAGGATGGCTTTGAAGGACAGAGGGAAGATCCGTTACTAAGGCAACAATCAGATAAAAGAGGCTTGATCCCAGGGCAAGAAGGAAGATAAAAGAGGAAAGGACCGAAGCACATTTTGTCTTGCAAAATATTGATGTTTTGTGGTATTAGAGGTATCGTCACAGGATATAAGCTGTTCCGAGTAAAGCTGCCTTTTACAATTGACTGATGCTGACTTTATTAATGCTGATGGTATTCAAGTGGTGCTCTACTGGTAGTTGTTTCAGGATTGCACCCAAAGTGCCTATGACTATTGATACTACATTTGCTTTCTTTTATCATAGCTGTTCTATTTCTGTTTGCAGGTCTTTGTATTTTGTTATATTATCCTGTTCTTTCTCTTCTATTCTGGTGTCTCCAAGTACTGGCATCCTATCTAGGCTTTTTTCTCTTTCTTATTGACAATTGTTAAGTCTGGTGCATTATGCAGTAGGTGCTGTCTGTTTGAATTCTAAAGTCCCAGAGCACTTTAGTCTCTGCATTTTCTATTACTTTCTCTGTTTTATGGTGTCATAGTTCTTGCTTGCAGGTAAATGGTATTTCTTGTATACCTTCCAATGCAATATTGTTGCTACCTTGTCATGCTGTTGTTTGTAGTCAATCTGCATGATCATGCAGCAGCTAACCAGACGGTCTACTGTTTCTTCAGCTATTATTGTTCTAAAATAAAGACAACAATTATATAAATACAATCATTATCAAATATAAAACAAATTATTGAGATTAAAATATAGTAAAATGTAAAATGTACAAACCATAGACAGAGAGAGAATGAATATATCAATAGTGGAACTATCTTAAGATGTTATTGGTTCTATGCGAAGCCGGGTGGCATAACTGGGTCTTCCAGAACATTAACAGGGATGGAGCTAACCTGACTTTGGTTGGTGGGGTGAATATTTCATAAGGTAGGTGCCATGGTAAGGAAGGGTGATACCCTAGACACACCAAATTTAGGTTCCTAGCAGAAGCTACTTGTAGCATGCTTTCTCTGCCAGATTTAATGGGATGGGCTGACTTAATCAGAAAGAGGCAGTCCCTCAGATAACCTGCTCCCATGCCATGAAGAGTTTTAAAGGTTAACACCAACCCTATGAATTGGACCCAGAATCAAACTAGTAGCCAATACAGCTCACAGAGCAGAGGTGTGACGTGTGGTTTTCTGGGAACACACATAACTGTGCCGCTGCATTCTGTACTAGCTGAAGATACTCTTCAAGGGCAGCACATTACAGTAATCTAACCTAGAGGTAGCTAGGTCATGAGTGACTGTGAGCAGAGCCTCACAATCTAGGAATGGGCGCAACTAGTGCACAGCATAAAGCTGTGCAACCCATCCAGCAACAAAGATGACATAATCCTAAAACTGATAGGCCCCAAAGCTCAGTCTTGCCGGGGTTCAGCTGAAGCCTATTGTACTTCATCCAGACCCTCACAGCCTTCAGGCACCAGGATATGATATTCACAGCACTGCTTAATTTGCCAGTGACTGTGATATATAATTGGGTCTCGTCAGTTACAATAGCAGTGGATAAACTCACCCAGCAGCCTCATGTTAAATAGGAGAGAGCATCATATTCTGCAGCACTCTGGGCTGAGGGCGGGACCTTTTCTCCCCAATCACCACTGACTGAGACCAATCCTGCAGGTCCTATCTCTCCTCTAGAAAGCAGCCAAAAGTCCGAAAGCCCTGTCAGATTCAATAACCAATGATTCAAAAAAGCCACTGGCAGAAGCCAGGATAACTTAGCAGGCACAGCTGGCAAAACACTTGGAAATGCCATAAAGCAACAATGCAGCAAAGTAACAAACATGGCAAAGCAACAACTCCACTACAGCACAGTCCACTCCTTTAACCTTTCCATCCAAACAGGTAGAAAAGTTCTCCTTCACCTTGGTAAGCTCTATCAAAAAACATCTTCACATATGCCATAACAAGCAATCAAGAGGACAGCCTGAACTCAGTTCCCTCTCTTCTGCCATCTTATCCCAAACTATTTAATCTCTACTTTACCCAAGCTCAGACATTTAGCTCTTGCTTAGTATTATCTAGCTGGCTTAGGCACTCTGAATACACTCTTTTCCCACTCCTCTCACTTTCTGGGAGGTTCTGACAGTTGAGAAGTAGGACTGGTAGAAGTTGCCTTTTGACCAATGTTAGATAGGGAGATAAGTTCTTAATATTGCAGCAATAGGTTGGAAAGACATCTTGGGAAATGGTTATCCATGCCACAGGGAAAACGAAGGGTAACACTGGTGGAGAATCTGTTTTCCAAATAGAAGATCCAAATCTACTCCTTTGAGTCTCCAGGTAAGAAAAAGAGGCAGGAGGTGATGAGATGAACTTCAGTCCTAAACAGGGCAAGCCATTGCCAGAAATACACAACTCACAATAAATAGCCTGATGTGGTTAAGATAATTCTGTGTTCCTATAACACAAAAAAACCCCTTACATAGCTATTTTTTTTTTAAAAAAAAAGTCTCCTTTACAAGCAATACTGCTTTCCTCTTTCAGGCTGATCTTTATATTTCTTTGCTAGTTTGTTGAGTCATAGACAAGAACAAGTTGACCTTGGCTGCTGGATCTGACTAATGAGAGATGACTGTTCTACAGGAAAATGTGAATGTGGCTGGTGTACATGTTTTCCTCCTGGAGAGTCCAAAATATATGGCAAACTTTGCGAGTGTGATGATAGGCAGTGTGAAGACAATGATGGCAATGTCTGCAATGGTAGGTCAATTTTAATATGGATTTCAGATGAAGTAATGTTGCGGTTACTGTGCAAATTTTTTCCCCCTGGTTTGGAATTATTGTGATAATATAAAGTAGCCATTTTAAGAGGCAGGAATAGTATAGTACAGTGTAGTACACTATAGAGATAGACAGGTATCTACCATGTGCATTTTTCTTAAATGAAATAAATAATTGATCTAATATATTTCTATATTCTGTAAAATAAATAGTGTAAACAAATGGTTTTGTTTCTAAAAATGTAAAATTATTTGAAAGAAACAGGAGGAATTGACTCAGAATCTATCATCTGAATTAAACTAATGGGCCACCATATGCTCAATGATTCACATCTTGGGGAAACAGAAGGAATAGCAAAGATGAGGGCATACAAGGTCCTGTGCTGTGCACTTCACCAGCTATAAAGTTAAAATTGAAATTCAGCAAAATATCCCTATTCCTAAAAAATAGTATCTGGAGCCTCCTCCGTATTAAAAGTTTTGTTATCTGTAAGTTCCAGTTTGAATATCACATTCATATGTGCCAGTGGGGGACATAAATATTTGTATGCATATTCTTTCCATGTTTCTCAACATCTGGAACCATTCTTCTGAAGGAAGTGCCAGAGGCTTTGTTGAAATGGTATTTATTCTACTGCCTTAAACCTAGATGAGCCATTGGGATATATAAAAACGCACTTTGCATGTATTTAGTACTCTGTTGTTTATAGTGAATGCCTTGTTTTCAGGGGTAAATATTGATGAAAATGGTAAGTTGTAAGGCTGTGCTCCAGTGATTCCCTGAATCAAGCTTAAATAGTCTCTAAATTGGATATCCATGAGTTATTACCTGCAGCTGAATCTCAAAGCTACACAAAATGTAGTATGATTTCTTTGTAGAAAGAACTCTATAGCATTAATTAAGTGCTTATTTATATGTCTATGGAGATTCTCAGTCATCCACATCATGGTTGTCCCAAAGGTGTTTCTTTCAAAAAGGCAACTGAACTTTGTTTTTTCCTTGAAGCTGTTTCGCTTCTCATCCAAGAAGTTTCTTCAGTCCTGACTGAATGGAGGTGGATGGAAGGATTTATATTCCTTGCAGTCATCTGGTCTTGATTACTCTTTCTGAGAGTCATTGAGGTCACTTGGAGGTTTTATTTGGGCCCTCAGGGTCACCTGAATAGTGCAAATGGGTATTCAGCAGTCTTGGAACTACTGAAAGGACCATGTTGTAAACAGGAGATAGGTGGTGACTGAACAGCCCTCTCTCAACAAAGGAGGAAAGATAAGACACCACCTGTCTCCTGTTTACAACACAGTCCTTTCAGTAGTTCCATACGTGCTAATGACCAGATGACTGCAAAGAATATAAACTTTCCACCCTCCACCATTCAGTTAGAACTGAAGAAGTTTCTTACATGAGAATTGACACATATTCAAGGAAAAACAAAGTCCAGTTGCCTTTTTATAGTTCATCAATGGGAATTTGTGAGCGTATTGTTGTTGAGCTACAGTTCCAAACATCCTTCCTTGTTCATCTCATTGAGACTGGTGGAAGATAATTCACCAGGTTTGGAAAACCATATATTCATTAATCATTTTGTAATTGTAAGTCAATGAAATCAATAAAGAAACTAAAATGATGAGCGGTCAGGCTGGTTGTGGTTGATGGGAATTGTAATTTAAAATTTAAATTTTAAATTATTAAATTTAAAATTTCCAGAATAATACTGTATGCTGATATGAACAATAGATGGATTTTTTCCTTCTTGGGGGGGGGGGGAAGGAATAAACATGTAGAAATTTTGAGAAAGGTAGGAATTTTTATTATTTAAAATTATTTATTTCTTCAGAAGCTACCAAAAGCCAAGCAAATGTATATTGGTCAAGAATAGCCTAAAAAGGAGCTTTGTTTGCCAGATACTAGAAATTTGTATGATTCTCAGCTCCTGACGCACACACCTTCACTTCAGTTTCAAATAGTTATGCTAACCAGAAAGATAGAATCTCAAAATTGTAACAGTTTAGGGGGGAAAGTGTACTAGAGTAGAAATCTTATATACAAAAATCAAATTCTGCATGAGATTGAGATCAGCCCTATAGCGGTTTAGCATTACATATCTAATAATTCAGATCTTTATTGTAGATCTGCACCTGAATTTTTGCACATGAAAATACTCAGGGAAATTTAGGATAGCTTTATGTATCCTTTCAGCACTTAGAATATTTTACCTATTTGCTGTTGTACAGCATATTGGGCTTATGCAATTCCAGCAAAACAAAATCCCATCACATTTATTATACCATTAATCAGATTTCTTAAAATATCTACTACAACTCATTTATACTTTGCTTCATACTTGGGCATCAAAAATACAAACTTACAGGGGGAAAAATGCCTATTAAGAAAAAAAAATGTCTTTTTCAATGTAGAAGATATTGGAAAATCCACCAATTATGTTGAGATGCATAGGCATAAAACTTATTTTTTCAGGCTGCTTCTAGCTATTTAGCATCAAGTTATGCTAACCTCAACATAATTTCTTCTGCAAATGTTAACAAGTAGTGGAGTTCAGCTCCTATTGATTTCATAGGAAGCTTGAGAGCTTAAAGCCAAATGAGTTAAAGCTAGGAGTGATCTTGGAGACCTGGTAGGAAGACTATTGAAAAAGTAAATGGAGGTGGAGGTGAACTGAATAGTTATCTTCTGCTTGTCTCACTAGCAGAGATTGATTTATAGCTCACTTTTCCAACTCTAGGTTGAGGTAAATATAAAGAGAAAATATGATGGACAAGAGCATAAGCATCCATGATCTTACATACTTGCAAAGGCTTAAAAATGCTACTGTCTGTCATTGGATGAAGAGAAAGATTCTCAGCAAGATCTGCCACCCTTCTAAGAAGGGAAAGCAATTGAAGACCTACATACCTTGTTCTGTTCTAATCACACTCTAAACTTTATTCACTTAAACTGGTGCCCTTGATTGGAATGGAACTTATTTCATCATGTTGCTTTCTCCTTCTCCTTTACGAACTGAATGCAGAAAAAAAAGTGCTGCGATATTCAAATTTCTCATAGAAATAAAATGTCCCAGAAGACTCAGTGGGAAAGAAAGCTTGCCGTGATAGGAAATAATGTAGGGTAGTTAAATAATGTGCTTGATAATGTAAACTGTCTTTTCAGCATTTAGAATATTTTACCTGAGCTGACTTGTCATTTATTTTTTCCAGATACTTTTGGAGACTTAATAATTGCCTAGTTAGCTAAGATGATATAGAATGAAACATCAATAAAGTCTGTGTAACTCAAATGGAAAACAACCCGCTAGATCCAGTTAAAACAAGAGCCAATTAAAAAGAAACGCTAAAAGAAGCATCACAGGGAAATCTAAAAATAAACGAAAGCACAACAGAAATATAAAGAGGATAAAAGATGGGAAAGAAGAAAAAGGTCTTTGCCTGGCACTGAAACTTTTGGGAGACCATACACTGTATTTCACAGCTGGGACTAGAGCTGAGGTTCACCTTTCATGGTCACCTTTACTTAAGCAAAAAAGACCAGAAGAAATGTTGAAATTCTGCTCTCAGGAACTGATAGGTGCAATGTATTTGCTCAGATGTTTGAGAGTGACTCAGGCAGGCCCAAATTGGGTGACTTTGTTTACCCGTCTCTCTTAGTTACAATGGTAGAAAAATTGGAGAGGGAGATTCTATGTATATTGCCATGGGGGAAAAAAAAGTCTGGAAATAAATCATTCTAGATCAGGGGAGTCAAACTGGTGGCCCATGGGCTGGATGCGTCACGTGCAGGCCATGCCCACCCCAGCTCTGCAAAGGCAAAAAACATCACAATAGGTCACAATACATCACGTGACGCTATCAAGTTTGACACCCCTGTTCTAGATTGTTTTGATACATTCTCAAGGACAACCCCATAAACAATAATTCATAGGGAATTTCTAAGATAGAAATCATCAAAGCCAGAAGATCTTAATCAAAACAGCACCGTAGCTGATGTACTCATTTAAGATGAATACAACTTAGAGAAAACAGGCAGAACAAAACTTCCCAATATTTTTCTGCCTTTTTAACCAGCAATGACCATAGGAAGTGTGTGCATTTTCTTCCATATAATAAAGTAAAATGAAATATGCGTGCACGGGTTTCTTTCTAGTTTTCCCTTGTATTGTGACTGGGTACATTTGTAAGTATGTGTACCCTGAGAAGCACATGCTCCTTCCTACCTTACCCAACCAGGAGGGAGAAGAGGCAGGACTCGGAATAGAGCAGTTGACACCTTGCCCAATTGCTTCTCCAATAGGGCAACATTGGGGATGTGTTTTCTCTCCAGCCCCTCTCTGGATTTGGCCTACCTTTGAGTCTGATTTTTCTCTTGCCAATTTGTCTCAGTGGACCAAATGTAAACTCATTCTATTTGGTCTTCAGACAGTTATTCTGTTGATGGACAGCCAGACCAAAGGCTTAAGATTGCCTATTTGTTTGTCAGTAGACAACTCCCTGAAAACAGATTTGGTTTAGCGGGAGGAGGGAACAAAAATGGTCTGGATGTGGCTAGCAGCTTTAGAGGAAAAGCAATCCAACAAGCATTTGCATCCAAAAGAGAGAAACAATTGAGCATCAACTCAGAAGACTCCTACCAGCTCCATTCCTAAGTCCCCTACCTCCTCCTTCCTGTTCACATGACCCAGAGTGGAAGTGCTATTAAAGGATAGCAAAGAATTTCAGAAATCATGATCTGCAGACTTTCCTATCTTGTTTTTCTCTAATGCTGGAGTCACCTAGGATTCCATAGCTGGAAGCACATTTGTAAGGATGTTTTACAGCCAAATGATTTCTCAATGACTTCTGATATAAAACAAGCATTTTCATGAGTGACAGAACCCTCCTCTCCAAAAGAGAGTTAGTCATGAATACAATTATCCATTAAAATTGTGACTTCCAGTTGGAAGAGGTTGCCTACCTCTGCTTTGGGACTAGTCTCTATAACACTTTCAGAGGAGGCTAAACACCACTCACCTTGATGGACAAATCATCCACTTAACTATATTGGCACTTCATCTAAAATAAACATTAAGCTCTTGGCCACATCCAGTCTTTTGATATGGCTAGGCGAAATGAGTCCTGCATATCTGCAGTTTTATATGGATGCAAATAAAAAGAGAACTGAAGATCAGCCAAATATTTTCTCTCTCATACAGCATCTTTGCAGTGCTGTATCACTTTCCCTGTGTTTCTGTTCTTGCTTCTGAACTGACTAATCCCTCAAGAGAGAAATTGGAGGGGGGTGGTCTAAAAATGGCAACTACTGAGATTCTGCTCCCTTTGCTTGTTCCTCTCTGGTCACATTGCTTTCTCTGCTAGAAAAACAGTAAACAACAACACAAAAGCTCTCTACTGATTGCCTACAAGAGAGGAATGCTAGCAAGGAGTGATGATGTTTTCTCTTAAGAATAGAAGGGATATCCTTGGGACTACCAACTGTGACATGGTAGAAATTTCCCCTCAGGAGGAATTGTGTACTGCACAACTATGGAGAAAATAGCACAAATCTATCTATCTTCATTGCGTTCTCTGTGGAACAGCTGGTGGGGCAATTAACCACTGAAGTTAATCAGGTGAAGTGCAAAACCACTGGGAGATACAGTACATGGCATTGTAGAGATATGCTAGGATCTGGCCCTTGTATGGGGAAGAGCCCTTTGTTTTCAAGTATTTTCACTAAACAAGTTCATTTTAAGTAGCATAGAGAAGAAGGAATATGATAAGGCCTTGCATCATACTCCTAAAGTGAAATCTCCCCACCAATTATCCATCTTAATGTATCTTACAGGGAAAAAGACAATCCTAAATCTCTATAGGAAGGGTAAGGCAAGAAAATAGATTTCAGATTTTCCTATTCAGCTATTATTCTCCAATCGAGGCTGTGATCATCTTCCCTTTTGGCATAATGCATTCTGAGATAGGCAAAAATACAGCAGGTTCATCTACTTCATTTGAATAGAGATCCTTACATCTTCTGAATGCTACCTTTTCTGAAACCTGCAAGAGAGACAGAATGGTTTCTCTTTATAGATTGTTGCAAAGTGTTACGTGCAGGTGCAATGATTTTGGTTTGGCTCAAGCACCCACTTGGAGATAAGACCATTATCCTCCAGGAGAAGATCATGCAACTTTCTTGTAAATAAGAATTTCATCAGGGGCTTTCACACTCTCAGTGGGTCTGGACAGCTCACAACAATCAAAGAAATTACAATAAAATCAATAAAATCTAAAAATTAAAGACAAAGTTGCATTGGAAGTTTGAACAAGATTTCTGGCAAGCTTCTTCTACTGACATTTAGCGGAAAGTCCTTTTCTTCTAACTTCTTCTAACATGACAGGAAGCACAGTGCTGGGAGGGAGCAGGTGCTGTAGCGGTCCACAGCCTGTTGGGAACTGAGCCGCCAAAGTAGCAGGCGAGCATGTGAAGCTTCATTTGCGCATGCACGGGATTTAGGTTGCATGTGCGAAACCATCCCCCCCCCACTACCAAAACTGCAGAAGCCACCACCACTGGTACGCACAACCAAAAATATTGGGGACCCCTGGCCTAAACCATCTCATAGCCTTAATATGAGGTGGAAATAAACACAGATTCACAAGCACCTCTGAAAGGACAAGGTGACTAAACTCCTCTGCCTATTAAAGTCCCTGCCTGGGGATTCTCCTTTTATCTAGATCACGGGATCTGTTCCTGTGGTCGTTGCATTTGTAAGGATGGATGGTTTGGAAAATTGTGTCAGCACCCAAGAAAATGTAACATGGCCGAAGACGAGAGCAGAAGTTTCTGTGAATCAGCCGATGGTATATTATGCTCAGGAAAGGGTAAGTAGGCGGGGAACTGAGTGATGTTTCAGATGGCTCTGTTCCAGAAGATTAAAGAAGTACAACTTGTGCTTCATAACTTGAGGCTCTTTTTTTGGTAATCCCTTGCTGTTAAAAAAGCTTTTCAAAATGTTTATAATACAGAAAATTCTTGTGGTGAAGCACTCCACATTGCTTTGAGAAGCTTTGCCCTCAGGAACTATTTACCAACAGCATGCAATTCCATTTGGTGATCTCCTTGTGGGTGTATATATCAATAGGGGGTCATTGTGTATTATGGGATATATTTTAGCATTATGTTTTAAGTGCTACTCGCAGCAGGTGACTCTACAATTGCTAAACGTCTAAGAAGGAAATTTGCTATTGAACAGAATGGAAAAGTTCTTGTCCACCTCCTACATGCCTTCTCTTGCACTGTTCATGCAATTCATATTCATCAAATTTCATTCAATTCCTTTATTTTAGAGCTTTTATAAGGTAGCATGTTGTACTCATCAGCTTTCATTGTAAATGGTATTTTGGTCCTTGTCTTTGAAGATCAGAGGTATTTGCAACAATAGGGTTCAGGGTTGTGCCTTGATGGTGAATCCAGGGGAAAAGAAAGAATCTGAAGTAGAAGATGAAGTGATACTTTTTTGTAGAATAAATCCAGTCACACATAACACTTCATCTATTTGGTGAAGATGCTTAACCTAAGAATATAGAGTTACATTCATCCTTCCTCAAATGTTTTTGGAAATTGGGGCAGGCAAAGCAGCATTGCAAGATTTGATTATAATTTCTATGAATGTTGCACACCATCACAGCATACCTATCCTTTTGTGCTTTATTTATTGTAAAGTGTCTGTGTTTGTGTGTGTGGCAGTGTGTGATTTTTTTTTTTTACAAAATATCATATATTTTCACTTGATTTGTCCAAAAGAGGCCCAGGTTCTAGGTAGTGTTGGAGACTAAAACATAAAAAGAACAGTTATAGGAATTGGATATGTCTAGTCTAATGAAAAGAAGGACTAGGGGAGACATGATAGCAGTGTTCCAATATTTGAGGGGCTCCTACAAAGATGAGGGGGTCAAACTATTTTCCAAAGCACCAGAAGGCAAGACAAGAAACAATGGGTGGAAACTAATCAAGGATAGAAGCAACCTAGAACTAAGGAGAAATTTCCTACCAGAAATTTCAACCAATGGAATAGCTTGCCTTCAGAGGTTGGGGGTGCTCCATCACTGGAGGCTTTCAAAAAAAGATTGGACAACCATTTGCCTGAAATGGTATAAGGTCTCTTGCTTGAGTAAAGGGGGTTGGACTAGACCTCCAAGGTCCCTTCCATCTCTATTATTCCATGTTCTATGTTCTAAATTTGATTTGCCAGAAGTGAGGTGAGAGTTTGTTACACAGTAGGAAGGGAAATAATTTAAAATACCCAGAGTTTTCTCAGATATAGGTAATCCAAAATCTGCGTTGTTAAGTGAGACATTTGTTAAGTGAGTTTTTGGGCGATTTTACCACAGCTGCTTTTTTTGCCACAGCTGTTAAGTGAATCACTGCAGTTGTTAAGTTAGTGACAAGGCTGTTCTGTGAATCTGGCTTCCCTATCTATTTGGCTTGTCAGAAGTTTGCAAAAGGTAATCACATGACTCCATGACACTGCAACTATTGTGTGAATCAGTTGCCAAGTATCTGAATTCTGATCCCGTGACCTGGGGGATGCTGCGATGATTATAAATGTGAAAAATGGTCATAAGTCACTTTTTTCAATGATGTAAATTTGAACGGTCACTAAATGAACTGTTGTAAGTCGAGGACTACCTGTACTTTAAAAAGTCTGCCTCCCGTTGGGTTCCTTCTGTTTCACTATAAGTTCTTAACTCTTTTGCTAAAGAAGTCTCATTTTTCTCTCTAAAATAAATAGAAAGGAAAGTACTTTTTAAAAATATATATATATTCCTATTGAAAGTTTAGAAATTGCTGGGCACATCATCCCATTCAGCAACTTGTTTTCCTTCAAGGTGCACCACAGAGAGGGATACTATGGTGTCTTATTTTCCATCTCTCTTCTACTGTTATTATGTACATCAGTAGGTTAAAGCCAGAGTAAATAAAGGCCATTTCCTGTGGGACTATCCATGCTAATTATCCACAGTATGGACCTAGAAAGCTGGGTCTTTTTGAAATCGAAATAGAGGCAATGTAAATTTAGCCTATTTCTGCTTTCTCTTATTGTCTCTCTCTTTTTGTCAGTCTTTGGATTCATTGTGCTAGTTGTTTTTGATTTTGCTGGTGCTTTCCACATAACTATCAGACTACATTTTGGGGGTAGCAGAACCAAGTGATATAGAGTCCTCGTTCAGTGATTGTTCAAAGTTCTGATGACACTGAAAAATTAGATTTCTAATTGTCCATTACAGTGTCCCTACAGTCACGTGATCACATTTATATTTATAAAATATAAATACATACATTTTAAGAATAAACTGGGCACTCAACTGCAATACAACTTCATTTTGGGATGACAATTTTATTTGCTAGTTGGTTTTGCAGAGTAAAACTAGCTATGTGTCAGCATCTAGCTGACCTTGGAGAAACTAAACTGCGACCTTGTCTGAGTATGGAAACAAAGTAGGATTGGCCTGGTTACTACCTAGATGGAGACTCCAGGAAATAGCAGAGATTTCTCTTAGATGGAGAGAGAAACATACTAGACAGAGGAAGGCAATGGGAAACTGCATCTGTTACGGTCATATGGAAACTAGTGAAGTCATCAGGAGTCAAACTTGATTCAAAGATGATCTGGCATCTGTGCACATTGTTTGCTATTCAGTGGGATTTTAGGATAGCTGCACACCTGTTCAAATCATTAGTTTGAAGTCAATTCTTGAATTAACTCTGAAAAAAGTGGTGCTTAAAAAGACAGACTTTTTGGTACAGTGTTTATATGGCATTGGGTAAAACACAGTTGATAGATTGAAACACAGACATTTGGTGTTCTTTTCATACAGTTAATGCCCAACTGTTTGTACTCTGGCCTGGGGGGAAAAGTGCTCAAAAGAAAAGAAAGTGGGATACGTGAGCAGGATTGTATTTCCACACAGCAATATACAGCCCAGTGAGATCTGTTCTTATTACCTCACTCTGTTTTTATTCCTTGATTACATCTCTGTAGTTTCAATAACCTTGGGGTTTTGTCCTTTCTCTTCCCTTTACCTTTGCTAAATCTTCTCACAGGCCTTCATCCACTCTCCCTTAATCCTGCAGAGAAGGATGACTTCGATTTTAGAGCTTTTGAACCAAGACAAAATGTCCTTCTTCCAAGCAACCCCTGATTAAATCAAAATGGAGGGAAATCATTATAGAGCATCCTAAAAGAAACCTTTAAAGTTAAAGCCCCCCCCCCATGGAACATCCTTCTTACCAATAGGCTTTTATCACAATGACCTCCTTGTAGACAATCATTTATTGATAGGCACTGATTACCTAAGATGTCCTGTGCCTGATTCTGCTCTTCTCTGAGTGCCAGTAATAATTTTTCTGTGCTTTCAGGTTCCTGTCACTGTGGAAAATGCATCTGTTCTTCCCAGGAATGGTACATTTCAGGAGAATTCTGTGAATGTGATGACCAGGATTGTGACAAATATGATGGCCTTATTTGTACAGGTGTTGTATGATTTCCACAGTCAATCCATCTGCTGTCTGAGGAGACACAATAGGTTTTAGCTGCTCCCAAAGCATTGCATGCTCTCACTCATCCAACAGCAGGTGCTATAAACTAAGAGGCAAAGGACTCTTAATTATTTCTTTTGCAATTATTGCTTTGCAAAAGTAAGATTTCTAAACAAATGAGAAGAGATGCTTTCAAAGATAGTTTTCCTTCATGAATAAATGAGAGAAAAGGGAAAAGAAAGGGGCTATGTCAGGGGTCCCCAGCCCCCGGTCTGTGGACCAGTACCGGTTCTTGGCATGCCAGCAATCGGTCCACACAAACAAGCAAAGCCCCATCCACAAGATGCAGGCAGCACACAAAACCACGCATCCTCCAGTGCACGGAAAAATCTCTCTCTGCAGAACCGGTCCATGATGCCCAAAAGGTTGGGAACCTCTGGGCTATGTGTATGAAGCAAAGTCTTAAAGAGTCAATAGGAAAGCTTCCCCCTTACACACACACACACACACACACACACACACAGAGAGAGAGAGAGAGAGAGAGAGAGAGAGAGAGAGAGAGAGAGAGAGAGAGAGAGAGAGAGAGAACCCATCTCTTCTGTACCATTTCAGGGTACCCATCCAATATTGCATACAGTAATGAAGTGTGAGCCCATTTGAGTTTCCCTGAATAGTAGTTGACACTTAGAATGTTATAGCAGACACTTAGAATGTTTCCATTATAAAACTGATTTTTGAAAGAGGAAGGAGTTAAGTATTCCATTACACCCGAGAACTGCAAATGACACCCAGAGACTATCATAAAGTCTGTCATATCTTAAATGTTCACTATTATAAATAGCATATAATATCATCTGCTATCATTAGTATCACTATCATAAATATTTTTCTGGGCATGTTGAGAAGCCCCTGTATCAAGTCAGGTTCCAAGTCACCTGGACTTGTCTTAAAATGATGCAGGCTATGTTTATCTGGTATATTCTTTCCCATTCATGTATACTAATGCATACAAACACACACACACACACACACACACACACACACACACACACAAATTGCAATTTCACACAATCACTCATAAGTTCAATGGTTAGTGCTAGAATTGGACAGGGGAGATCTGAGTCGAAATGCCATCTGAACTATAAACTTGTGTGAATTATTTTGAAGCAATTATTACTTCCTAGGGGATCTTACCTCACATTTCTTGCTCATCATCAGATCTCCTTAAAACAGAGATACAGAAAATGTTTAGGGCTTATGTGTGATCTACCCCAATCAGTTTTGTGGCTCTCAGAATCCTCATTTTGAGCAATTTGGAGGGATCTAAGGAGAAAATAAATGCCTGAAGCCTTCAGAGTGCTTTGGTTCAAGCCAGAAGGGGAAAATAGGTAGAAAGAAAAATAAAAACTATTTTTTGTGATGGTTTACACTTTCACAGAGCAACCCATTTTTAATTTCAATTATGGATAATGTTGTTTTGTTCCAGGAAATGGCATATGTAGCTGTGGAAACTGCGAGTGCTGGGCAGGTTGGACTGGAAATGCTTGTGAGATCTGGCTTGGGAGTGAATATCCCTAACATTGCCATGAAACACTGAACACTGACGGATATGTGGTGTAGAATAAAGCTGCTAGACTACATAAATGTAAGATGAACACAACCGAAAAAATCCTACCCATCCTAATCAATCAGCTCAGTAAAATATTTCTTAAAATATAAGAGCACATCTGTGTGGCTCTGTTGTTCTAATTCTGCATATATATTCTTTCTCCCTTGCGTAGCTTTTAAGTGTGCTACAAATGAGACAAGATTTATTATATATTGTACTTGGATGACTGAACATCAGTTTCCTGTTTTAAATGAAACAATTCAAAATGGTTTAGGATTATGCAAAATGACTGAATTGGTGACAGTGATGTAGGGGATCCTTCTGACTATGGAAATCAGTTCATTTTTCTCTTGAAAACTTTCATATAGATCCCTACAAAAGCTGCTTGCTGTTTAGTTTACCACTTACTATCAATCTTCAGTCACTTATTTGCAAGACTCGAGGGGAGGGAACTGGGTAGAATAGGAGCATTTAAGGACATTCCTTCCTGCATTAAAGCATTGCTTCCTTCCACAGGATTAGCAATAAGATCAAACCATTTATCTTGATTTATGCATCCCCTGCTTTTTTACGGGAAAAAATAAAGCACCTGAATCTTGAAAAATGCATTCTATGTGAGTCATTTAGGCACAAGTTGCAAGCATACAGTGTTTGCTTGAATGCTTGTTTTTCTTAGCATAATTTTATTTCTGTTTCTTTGTCATCTTCACCAACACTGCCGTCAAAGTGTTTTGGTTATGATTTTGCCAGTCTTGTTAGGACGTTTCATCTGGTATGATGACCAACAGGAAGATTTGTGAAGTCACGGACAGTACATATTTAACCACAACTAGGTGGATTACAAAATAAATGGAAACAAAGGAGGTCATAGCAAAAGAAGAAGAAGAAGAAGAGCAATGCTGTGGGGCACTAAGCAGCAGAGAAATAATTCATGCTTGGCAAGGTGAATATTATTTGTCACTCCTTTTAGTTGCATTAAAAATGCTCCTTTTGATTAAAATATCAAATATATTGGACAATTCTGTTTGGAATATCTTTATTTGGGTATGGGTCTTTGTCTGTACAAATGCATGTATATGTGTGTTATACAGCAGTGATGGTACAGTGATTAGAATGCAGTATTTCAGACAAACTCTGCCCACTGCCAGGAGTTTGATCCTGCCTGGCTCAAGATTGACTCAGCCTTCCATCCGTCCAAGGTTGGTAAAATGAGGACCCAGATTGTTGGGGGCATTTGCAAATTGCTGAGAGTGTGCTGAAGAACACTATGGAGCAATATATGAGTCCAAGTGCTATTTCTAGTGCTATTATAAAACTCCAGATTGTCGGAAACTATTCTCAGCATACAAAAGTAAGTCAGTATCAGCTATATGTGCGCACATGCGCGTGCGCGCACACACACATATCACACACACACACACACACACACGTATTTCCCTCCCCCCCAAAAGCAAAAGAAGATAATATGCATTCTATGTGGCAAACTGATACAAAAGAGGACTTCTCCATGGGCATAGGTGTTACCAGAACAATTTGGAAATTCCTGCTATTGCTCTATCCACTGCCAATCACATACCACCCCTCCCCAGCTCCATCGCTGCTGCCCACCACCTGATTGGCTGGTGGCTACTTGCCCTGTGCAGCAAAATGCCTGGGTAAAACCATGCTTTGGGGAATGGGCTGGGATGAAGAGCTGGGTATGGAGGGCCAGGAGGCCATTGGTCATGGACAGAGGCCCAACAGAGGAGGAAAGCCCATTGTGGTTTGACTGTGGCAGCTGACTAGGAGTGAAGTGGGTGTGGCCAAGGGTCCACACCTAAATGTCCTAGACCCAGCAAGCAGGCTAGAAATCATCTACCATGTTTTATATTAATTTTTGCTCCAAAAGAACCATTAGGGCTTATTTTCAGGTGATGTTGTATTTTTTTCATTTACAACAGACATGTCAAACACAAGACCCACAGGCTGGATCTGGCCTGCGATGACCTATATCTGGTCCCCCTGGCCCACACATAAGAGGCAATGAGCGTGCAGGGGCTGATGGGGTCCAGCAGCAGCTGTAACTCACTGCCCCCTTGGCCAGTGCACTCTGGGGCTGCGCAGCCTGCACAGTGCAGGTGAGTCCCAGTGCTGTGACTGCCGGCCTGCCTCTCCAAACATCAGGCAGAGGCGTGAGGGGAGGCACATGATCCAGCCCACTGGATGTGCCATGTAGCCACCCACCCACTCCATCCCACCATCTGTCCTTGCTTGCTCGTGGCCACCCACCCATTCCCTCCCACCCATCTGCCTTTGCTTGCTTGACCTATCCTTTTGTAGTATGCTTCAAACTGTGTACATTCTTTTGTTGTTGTTGTTAATTGCAAAGTCGTGTCCAACCCATCGCGAGCCCATGGACAATGTTCCTCCAGGTCTTCCTGTCCTCTACCATCTTCTGGAGTCCATTTAAGCTCACGCCTACTGCTTCAGTGACTCCATCCAGCCACCTCATTCTCCGTCGTCCCCTTCTTCTGTTACCCTTAATCTTTCCCAGCATTAGGCCCTTCTCCAGTGAGTCCTTCCTTCTCAGTAGGTGGCCAAAGTATTTGAGTTTCAACTTCAGGATCTGGCCTTCTAAAGAGCAGTCGGGGTTGATCTCTTCTAGGACTGACCAGTTTGATCGCCTTGCAGTCCAGGGGACTCACAGGAGTCTTCACCAGCACCATAGTTCAAAGCCTCAATTCTTTGTCACTCAGCCTTTCTTATGGTCCAAATTTTGCATCCATACATTGCAACTGGAAAAACCATGGCCTTGACTATACGCACTTTTGTACATTCTTTTAGTATAATTAAAAGAAACTATCACAGAGCAATCCTAGGATATTCAAAAGTTAAGGGAGGAAGTCAGCATCTGACTGGTCTTGTAAGAAAAAGGGTTTTCATGTGTTTTATGTAAGTAATCAAAAATGGTTGAGACTTTCTATTTAATTATTTTTTTTTTCTTCTCCCTTTTTTTTTCTTTTCTTTGAACTCCCTTCTTTTTATTGTAATGACCCTTTTTTGAAGGACTTTTTTCTGTTTAATTTTTGCAATTTTTAAGAAGGAGTAAAGCTTTTTTTTAATTCCTTTTCTCTTCTTTTTTTTCCCTTTTTTCTTTTTATTATAATGACCTTCTTTGGAGGGAGTTATGATTTTTGAAGGAATTTTTATAATTTTTTAAGAAGGACTAAAGGTTTTTCTTTAAGATGGCTCCAAAGCGTCCAGGAATTTCTACAGCTTCTAAATCAACAGTTTCACCCTCTTCTGGGGGTCAGCTAATAACTATGAAGGATTTGCAAGACATGATGGGAGATGTTATAATTCAAATTAGGGCAGAAATGAAAAAGATTTTAGAGGAAAATAATAAGATCTTGAGACAAGATTTTGTTTTGGCTTTAGAAGGAGTTGCTTCTGTTCTTGAAAAGGTGAACTCCCATGTGGAAGAGGTAGCTGAAAAAGTGGACATAATGGAGGGGAAAATTGAAAGTATGGAAAAAGAAATGGAAAATGAGATTCTTATGCTTCAATATGGACAAATGGAATATGCCTTAAGAATTAGGGGCCTGGGAGAGTCTTTGCAAGGAGATCTGAAAGAGATGGTTGCAAAGGACTTTGCATTGATTTTGAATAAAGAAAAAGAGGGAATACTTAGTGAAATTGAAAAATTATTTAGGGTTAACTCTGTGGTGGCAGCACAGAAGAATCTGCCAAGAGATGTGGTAATTTACTTTGGTAAAAGATCTTTACGCAATGAAATTGTGCAAGCCTATTATAAGAAGAGATTTCAAATTGCTTCACAAGATGTTATAATTTTTAAGGAGATCCCATCTAAAATTTTAAGAAGAAGAAAGGAGTTTGCTTTTCTAGCAAATGAACTTAAAAAGAGAAAAATTTTATTCAGATGGGATGTTCCGACTGGAATGGTGGTGAACTACCTGGGGACATGTTATAGACTTAATACTGTTTCTCAAGCAAAAGATTTTTATACTTCGGTCCTGGGGGTATGTGCATCGCCATCTATTAAGTTTAAAGCTTTGGAAGAAAAGAATGTAGAGCCTATATTTATGAAAACTGGCGAATCTTTGTGTGAGAGGCCTCAACAAGTCCAGGTTGAGGAGCAGAAGACAACTTGTGCAGCATACAATTCCAAAGAAAAGCAGCAACAGAAGAAGGTTAAGGAAGTTTCATATTCAGTGGTCTCTGAATCTCTGGGAGATGTTAGACCTACAAAGTCTTTGGAGCAATCTTCAAGGGTGGAATTGCTGCCTGAAATGGAAATTGGGAAATCTCAGTTTGAGGGGCATCAACAAGAGAGGAACGGGCAGAGGATAACTTGTACAACTTACAATTGTAAAGACCAACACAAGGAGGAATTCAAGGAACCCTTACCTGTATTGGCTTCGGAGTCGATGGGAGATTCAGGAATTTTGGAGCAGTCTCCTAATGCAGAACTTGCAGCATTTCTTACGAGTTTGATACAAGAATGGAGAAGGGAAATGGAAGAATGGAAGAATGGAGAATGGAAAAAACTGGAATGTGAATAATTAATAATAATACTAATATAATTGAGACTGATAAGGATGCAGTTTCTTATGGATGGAATTTGTTATTGGTGAAGATTGAAATGTTTAATGTGTTTATTATGGATAGGCGTATAAGGGAATTTTGTTGTTTTAAGTTTTGAACCTTTAATGATAATATTGTTTAAATTTGTGTTTTGAAGGGATTATAATTTGCTCATTTTAGTGAGGGGATTCTAATGTTTTAAATTTTAAGTAATGTTTAAATTTGTGTTTTGAAGGGAGTATAACTTGTTCAAGTTTTAAGTATGCTTAAATTTGGTTTTTAAATATTATTAATATTTTTAAGAGAAAATAATTTGTTTAATTAAATGTCTAGATTTGTTTAGGAAAGAAAGTAATGTTTAAATTTGTGTTTTTGGAGGGAGTTTATATAGAATGATGATTGTATTTAGATTTGTTTAGGATTTAAAAGTGTTTCTAGTTTTCAAATATTATTATTAATATTTTTAAGAGAAAATAATTTGTTTAATTAAATGTGCTTAGATTTGTTTAGGACTTATAGGTTTTTTAAGTTTTTTCTTTTTGGATAGGAGAGAAGATTATGAAGATTGAAGGAAATATGTATTTACTTTAAGTTTTTTAAGAGTATTTAGTTTTAATGGTATAACAAAGGTTTATATGTTTATTTTTTCGTTTTAGGATAAAGAAAGAGGGAGAAATTAGATTTTACACTATAGATATAGATATTCAAAGAAAGTAATGTTTAAATTTGTGTTTTTGGAGGGAGTTTATATAGAATGATGATTGTATTTAAATTTGTTTAGGTTTTAAAAGTGTTTTAAGTTTTTTTTCTTTTTTTAATTAAGCCTGTACTCAGCTCTGGGAAGTCCAGGGGAGGGTTTGGGAGGTTGGGAAGGGGGGGGGTGAGGTAGGGTTGGGGGGGGTATGGGAAGGGGATTTGTTTTTGTAAAATTTAAAAAATTTTCAATAAAAAAAAAAAATGGTTGAGACCAGTAACTTCATATATGTTTCTCTCATGAAAGTTCAGTATATTGAAATAACC